GCCTTCATTTTGGTACTGTACTGTTGATGAGCCGAGATGACAACAACAACAACAACAAAAAAGAAAGTACAGAATATCGTTAGGTATTTTTATTAATAACAATAGAAGGCACTTTTTATTGGATACAAAGTAATAAAGTGCGAACAATATCTCCATGAAATAAAATCTAAATAATAGTTTAAGTCACCATTTTGGACAATGGAAGTTCTAACTAGGCATTGTTTGATCTTGTTTCTTTAATAGAATACATTCATTAGAGTTTTGTTTCTGTTTTGTTTGTTCATGCGTGAAGTTTCAGAACCAGTGTTTGGTTGAGCTTTATCTGACTGTTAGGAGCAATTTCTTCTGAAAGAAAGACCTAAAACTTTTAGAATACTAATAGAACTTTTCATTACACCGAATATTGGGATATGAAAGCTTTGACAAAGAAGAACTAAGGCAAAATATACTCACAAAAGCAAACGTACCTCGCAAATTTTCACAGCAGTGAATTACCACGAGAAATTTTCACGAACTTGTTCGTAAAACCGCAGAGATGATTGAATTTTCGGCGGTCATTCGCACTAAGTTATATGTTCTGCCGATCGCTTCCGAGGGCTTCCTGTGTTTATGGGTCTTCCGAAGGGGTATTGATTGAATTTTGACGTCATTCTATTGTTACTTACTCATTTGCATTAGACACGATAACAAAGTGTCTACTACTTCGTAGTAGGCACAAAAATTGGTCCCACCTATTTTATCGAAACTCACGATCACAGGTTCTATGCTCGAACAAAACTGATCATAGTTGCCATCATTATATCATCAACAACAACGCCAGAATTAAGTGTTTTCTTTTTTAACTTTTTTTCAGCGAGAAAAAATAGTCTTTAGAATTTCAAAATCACATCTTTTTCAATCCAAATTTTAATTATAAGAAAATTTTTAAAGCTCACAATAATCTTCAAAATAAAATCAAATAATAAACTTCATTCAGTTAAATCACCTTTATTAGTTTGTTTTGAGTTAAATCATACATAGCAATAATTGCAATTTTGTAGCGCACCGTTTGAATTTAACAGGACGCTCTTGTCGCTTGGGCTACCTGTCTATTCTCGAAGCTCGAAATGCATTAAGGTATTTCTCTGGGTTATTTCTGCTTTATAATAGAGGCGATTTCGTATGAGTGGGAAACCGATGCTGACGCGATACAGCTACGATACAGCTACGATACGGATTCATCCCCCGAATGGCATGATGGGATGTTGTCATTTATCCATGACCACCGAAGAGATCACATCAGAGCCGTTAGTACATGACTACATTTGCGATTTTTTTTCTCAAATTGACGTAGGAATATGCTCTTTTTTCTCATTTATATCTTGGGATTTACATTTACTATGCGGTGCTTGCTTAAGTTATGATAGGTTTGGTAACATCGTACCGTAATGGTCTTTGTGCTTGAATCTAAGGTAAGCGTTTAGTAAAGTTATTCAGGAGTTTTGATTAGTTTTTTATCATACATTTTGACAAATTTTCATACTTACTGGTAAGAAAATCATTACTAAAATTCTGGGAACTTGAGGATTAAGCGACGTTTACACGAGCAAGTTTTCCTTGTCAAGGAAAAACGCCGCTTTAGTTAATAAGAAACTTAAGCTTAACTTAAGTTAAAAGCTTAGACTTAAGCTTAAGCATCCCCATACAAATGAATGAAAGCGAGATGAAGGAAGAAGAAAGACAACTTCAGTTACATGTTGAAATCAGTCGCGAATGAGCACCAAATGAGTTTTATAAACAAATACCTACATGTATATAAAAATCATAATTTAATGTAAATTTTGTGAAAGGTTTTACTTGTTTTGGCCTTTGTTCAATTAGTCCACAGAAGTAGAGCTTACATTGCAAGAATTAAAGCTTATGATCTATTAAACTAACTATTTTAGACTTAAATGACTGATTTGTGTATGGATTTTTCTTTTAGATATGAATGTTTGGATATAAAGAAATGGAAGATATTGTCACTTCCTGTGGAAGTCCACGTCTAAAAATGCAACTGGTTTTTTCGTCGTGGTGAATATTACGCTTCAAATTGGTAGCGCATCGATAGCGCATGCGTTACAGTCTCAGTTTCCATGGAGATGTCAAAATAAACCAATCAGCGATTTTTGGTAGCGCCTGCGTTGCAGATGGACTGCAGTCTCAGAATGAAAACAAAATGGCTGACAGACGGCGGCAAAAAGTTGTCTCGTTTCAAATGGTTCTAAAATGTAGCTAAAATGCTCTAAGGAGCTGAAAATCTTACAAAATCAACTGATTACCATCCAAACGACATGGATTGAGGTATATAATTCAAGATTAGCGGATGATTCGTGCAGAAATGACTGGGCATTTTCTACCGCCGACTCGAAGAGCACTACTTCTTCGTCACACAAGTGTTCGATGTCAAAAATCTTCAAAAATAAGAAATCACATGGATATTTAAGGTTCATACTTTGACAGAAAACAATCATTCGATGGAAGAAAGTATATCAAACCTCATCTGAAAAATATTGATGCCATTTTCTAAACTAACGATGTGTTTGAAGTTCGGAAAACTGCACGTGTGAGCTTTACTGAACTCTGTATGCAAAATCTATATTGTGTATGAAGCACTTTAATTCTCTATTGTTTGTTTTGATGATTGTTTAACTTATGAAAAACTTAGACAAATCCAAAAATATGAACTGTCATTAGAAGGCTAAGGTACACCTTTGTGATGGCACAGAACGCCAGATTTACAAATTAATGAAAAACACCAAATAAAAAAGAACAGAAACACAAGATACAGATACATGATTAAAATGATCAAAATATTATTCAAAGTTATACTGCCAAGACTGTACCGTTTCTATTGTTTATGTGACCTATATGACCTATCAGATATTTTGAATAATATAGACGCTCTTGAGCGTAAAGTCGAGCTAGTTATTGTGGAAAACTGAGAAAGACATGGTATCCAAAGAATTTACTTAGAGTTCAGTTCGGTAAAAAATTATGATGTAATAAATTGATAGAGCAGAGTCACTTGAACCATGAAATAGCAACTCAATACTTAGTAACTAATAGGCACTATTTAGACACTATCACTGAACCAGAACAGTAAGAGATTACTTTTATTGTCATAGTGGTCTCTTTGGTGTTGCTTATTGGATCAAATAAACTGTTCTGGTTCTGTGCTAATGACTATTAAGAACTAATAGTGCCTATTAGTTAGTACTTTTTAGTTTTTATTTCATGGTTCATGTGACTCTGCTCTAACATATTAACTTAATTCTGTCTTGACTTATTACAAACAAAGACTATGTTGTGAAAATGAAACACCATTGTCACAGGAAGCCCACGTAAGCGATCTGTTATATTATATGTACTTAATTATGGGTTTCCTGTGCCCTCATTAATAAAACCATGTGCTGGAATATGGCGTCTGACTGCTTGCAACCCACVTAACATGGTGTCAGAACTTCGACTTAAACTCACGCGTTAAAGACGAAACCTCGGCAAAAAAGCACCAAAATGGCAAAATCATCGATTCCAGTACCTGCTAAGATGGATATGGAAGGAGATCTCGCTTCGAATTGGGATTTTTTCAAGGAAAGTTGGAAAAACTACGCAACGGCAAACGAGCTAAAGAAAAAACCCGACGAAGTTGTCGCCGCTACTCTACTCTCGATAATCGGAAAAGATTGTTTTAAAGTCTTCAAAAACCTGCCAATGTCAGATGATGAAAGACAAAAGCCGGATACAATACTAGAGAAGCTAACTGAGGAGTTTGAAGGTAAAAGAAACTTAATTTACGAACGGTATGTGTTCAATACATGTACACAAAAACCTGACGAGAGATTTGATCGCTACCTGAGTCGACTGAGAGAAAAGATATCGACCTGCAAATATGCCACTCTAGAAAACGAGATGTTGAGAGATAGAATAGTGATTGGAATTCACAACAGCGAAACACAACAGAGACTGCTAAGAGAAAAGGATCTCACCTTGGATAGAGCAATCGACATTTGTCGAAGCAGCGAAACAGCAACACAACATTCACAGAGAATGGAGCCGACACAACCTGTCAACTTTGTACAAAAGAAGAAGAGCGACACAAAGTATATCAAGAATTGCAAGTACTGTGGAAGTGACCACAAGAAAGGCAAATGCAGTGCATATGGAGAAACCTGTAGTAAATGTAAAAAGAAAAACCATCTTGCCAAAGTGTGCTTATCATCAGCAAATTCAAATGATTCATCACCACGACAACAAAAAGCAAAAGGTGAAACAAAGGATAAATCAAAGAGGAAAAATACAAAGAAGATACATCATCTGGAAGACAGTGATACCACTACCACTGAAGATAGTGAAGAGTTAGACAGTGATGAAAGCATATACAGTATACAAAACAAGAATGGAAAAAAGGAATTCTGTGCCAAAGTCATTGTGAAAGCTGACATCAGCAAGAATAAGTCACAACAAATCTTATTTCAGCTGGATACAGGAGCTTCATGCAGTACAATCAGCTTGAAAGATTACAATAAGATAACGACAAAGACACTAGAGCCCTCACACACTACTCTCAAGATGTATGATCAGTCAACATTAAAGCCAATAGGACAAACAAAGCTATACTGTACAGTCAAGGGTATTACCAAAAAGGTACAATTTCAAGTCGTCAAGGATGCACCTATTTCCCTTCTCTCTGGTAAAGCCTGTCAAGCCCTACAACTTTTGAACTTCAGCGAGGACATTTTACAGATTAACGAATCCTTGACTAAAGAGCAAGTCCTTACTGAATATGCAGATGTATTTACTGGTCTAGGAAAGCTACCAGGAGTTTATCACATCGAAACAGACCCAAATGTCAAGCCAGTGCAAGGCAATCCAAGAAGAGTCGCACTACCCCTTGAGGAAGAATTAAAACAGAAAATTGGCGAACTAGAGCAAATGGAAGTTCTNAAGAAACACAACCAGCTACACAGAAAGAGCCTATGATGACTCACCCCATTCCACAACTACCCTGGCAATCAGTAGCTAGTGACTGTGTAGAGGTAAAGGGTCAACACTATGTTGTAATTACTGACCTTTACTCTGACTACATTGAAATTGCAGAACTAAAAGATGAAACTACAGCAACACTCGTCAAGCAAATGAAACCAATCTTTGCAACCCATGGTACACCTGCAGTGCTAACGACTGACAACGGTCCCAATTATGCTTCAAAGGAGTTTAAGAACTTTACAATTGAATGGGACATACAGCACATCACAATAAGCCCTCATCACCATAAATCTAATGGTAAGGCTGAAGCTGCTGTAAAGACTGCTAAAAAGATCATCAAAAGAGCAAAGAAAACAGGACAAGATCTATGGAAAGGTTTACTTGAATGGAGAAATGCAATTACACCAGGAATGAATACCTCACCGGCCCAGAGGTTGATGTCGCGCAGAACCAGAACCTTTCTACCCTGTGCAACCAACATGTACAAGCCAGAGGTACAAACCAGTGTTGTCCCTCAAATAATAACAAAGCGACGAAAGGCAAAGTTACATCATGATAAAGGAGCAAAAGAACTACCAAAGCTGATAGTAGGACAACCTGTCATGGTGAAAGTTACACCTCAGCAACCTCGAAGTGAGTGGAAAGTGGGAACAGTGAAACATGAAGCAGCAACTCCCCGCAGTTACATTGTTGAAGTAGAAGGCAGAAAGTACAAGAGGAACAGAATTCACTTGAAGGACACTATGATCAGTTCACAACACACATCTCAGCCACCTGCCCCTTCTCAAGAAACATTATTAGCTGAAACTCTCAACCAAGACACACCAGACAAGTCAACTACAGACAACACCAAATCTCCCAAGTCTTCTACAGCTACAGAGTCTACAACAGCCAGTACAGATTCATCCACAATTTGCACAAGAGCTGGACGATTGGTGAAAGCACCAAATAGACTCAATTTGTGACTGTTATTATTCAGAGACGTTATTTAATATTAATATATTTGCTATAAACACTGTTCTTATTGTTATTTAAAGTAAACAAAATTTAGTTTTTTTATTTTCTTTGGAAAAAGGAAGATGTTATATTATATGTACTTAATTATGGGTTTCCTGTGCCCTCATTAATAAAACCATGTGCTGGAATATGGCGTCTGACTGGATCGTCTAGTTGAATATATGATGCAGTGAAATTTCTAACATGTCAATCTTACATTTAATCTCACAAGTGGCAAATAAAATTCAATGAAAGTGGGAAAGATGTACAATGTCAGAGATTGTTGTAGTGTACTTGAGTACTTTTCGTTTCGGTCACATGCATATGTGTTTAGACAATATAGACTCTTCTTCACATTTTCCTGCAGACATGATCTGTTCCTGATGTGCAATGATATACTATTCCATAAAACCTTCAATATGGTAATCAACAAGTACTTCAAATAGGATGGTCTCAAAATCAACAACAAGCAGTATTTCTAACATCTATGATTTTAAAAGTTAAGAACTCAACAAATTACAATGATGTGTGGGACCAAAGTACTGAAAGTAGCTTAGCTTTTGAGTTGGTCCCCACAACATTTAATATATGTAAACTACGATCAGGGAATATATATCAGCTAGCAATATGTATCAATTTCTCAAAAGTTTGTGATTCTTTCTATGCTATTTTTAAAACTGAGGCCTAAACGTAATTACATAAATTGTGGAAGAGAGTGTTAGTGTCAGACCCAGGCCTGTTCTGTCTGAAAATCAGGCTTATTAGCTGATTGTGGGAATGTATATGTTCAGATATTTTTCCATTAAAATGGTTATAAGTTATAAGTACACAGTGTTTTGAATTATCTCAGGTTTAACTGGTTTAATAAGATATGGACTAGTCATTCATGGAACAAAAAGATTAAGGAACCATGGAGTCTCATTTTGATACTTATAGGACTTAATCTGATAAATAAAATATCTCAAAACAACCAGAAAACTATTTTCATGTAAATAAGATTAGATTTGTCTTATAATTTCTTATTTCGTTTTGAAATTTTGGATATTTATCAAGGTACAACTATCGAATACCCCGCCTCTCAAACCCTCACTTGTAGCCGCGGCTACGGCTACGGGTCAGATACACAGGGATACCAACATATGTATATAAACAACTTTCTTATTTCTATTACTCAATAATATTCTTGGACATTCTAATAGTACTATTTTATGATACAGAAATTAATAAAGTAGGATGGAATGTAAGCAAATACTAACAGTTTCAGTTTCAGTATTATCAACCATATCATAATACTTCAGTCAACAGCGGTTTCGCTTGTTGTTTTGACGCAATATAACCTGGACGATTCCTTTACGAGTGACTTAATACATACTTTATTTTCGATAGAGACTTCTTATTACAATTCTTTTTAAAATGACCGGATCCAATATTTTGAGCATACAACTTAGCGAAAGCGTTCTTAGATAACTTTTACATGTATATAGTCAAATAACAATACACTGCTCTCGATCATTAACACACAATAGCTTCACAGATATTATACTTTACAACACCAATAATTTATTCAAACTTACACCTTCGTGATCAGTGATCTATTGTTACTAAGAACAATACAGAGGCTTTGTTTCTTCTTCATAAAACATCGCAAAAGCGCAAACATTTACTTAACGCATAAAACATACATTTTGCCAACGATTCATTTTGACCCGTAGCCGGTGTAGCCATGTAGCCGGCTACGGGTCATAGTGTATACTTCGTTCTATATAAGACACAGGAATTCCGGTCTCTTCATTTTGACCCGTAGCCGGTGTAGCCATGTAGCCGGCTACGGGTCATAGTGTATACTTCGTTCTATATAAGACACAGGAATTCCGGTCTCTTCATTTTGACCCGTAGCCGGTGTAGCCATGTAGCCGGCTACGGGTCATAGTGTATACTTCGTTCTATATAAGATACACAGGAATTCCGGTCACTTCATTTTGACCCGTAGCCGGTGTAGCCATGTAGCCGGCTACGGGTCATAGTCTTTAATTCGTTCTATAAAAGACACAGGAAGACAGGTCACAGTCTTTACTTCTTTCTATGAATACAGGAAGTCGAATGTATATATTTTGACCCGTAGCCGTAGCCTTCGTTCATACCAAGCTTTTTTTTTGCGGGGTATTCGATAGTTGCTCCTTTATCAAAATTAAAATTATTCCTCGGTGTCTGAAAATAAACCGGATGTACGCCGGCTAGAAACAGAACTTATAGGGCATATCGGGAAAATTTGTTCTACGCTGACCAGAAGACGTGAAGACTCTTGTGTCCGGTGTGTGTTTCGACTATGCAACATTTCATGGACAGGTTTTCGAGCTGTTGACTTGAAATTTAGCTATGAAAAACATTTCAGTCTCGCTCTTAGAGGTGTTTTTTGAGCTATTGACTTGCAATTTAGCTATGAAAGTTGTAGAGGGACATTTGGAAGGTCAGGGTAGACAATTTTTGAGTGTGGACTTCCACTTGATGGCTTCGTCACGGAAGGTCATTCATGCTTTATACCGGGAAACGTTTTCTACTTCCTTAATACCACTTCCTTTGGTATTTGAAGACGAATGGTGAAGTACTGGACCATAAGTTTTGACTTAAATGTTCTTTATCATCAATTTTATACTTTAATTAAGCTAAATGTTGTGTATTCAACAGCCTTGGTAAGCCTAGCAAACAGTTAATGTATGAGTCAATTCCAAGGGTGCCCATCCCCCCTCCCCCCCCCCCCCCCCCCCCCCCCCCCCCGGACGAACCCCCGGGCATTTGACTTTTTGGAAAAAAATTGGTCAAATTCCCCACTATATGGGCAAAATTGACAGTCAAATGCCAATAGTAAAAGCAAATGAGTGGTCAAATGCCCGCCCCATAAGTAGTTTTTTTACGCTAGTTTTCGAGTGTTTTAGTTGCTTTTTATATCGTGATTTCTCATCGTGAAAGTACAAAAGATCGAGAATGTTCCCAAAAGTGATTGTAAGCCTCGTGGCTGCTAATAGCGATCCGTGATCATGTGAAGCGCCTTTGAACCCTTGGAATTGACTCATGCATAAGCCTAAATTATTGCTTTTATATCTATTACATTTTCCTTTATCAAAATGTAGACTCAAATGGCAAAGGATCCCATCGTGGAACGCAGAGAGATAAGTATTCATTGAATATTTTATATAATTTTTAAATACGCAGAATATTAAGATCAAAAATTCTACCTTAGATGTTGGTCTTCGATGTCTTTTGCGCGGGAAAAAACTGACGCGCGAGAGCGGCATTTTCGCGCCCCGGCCGGTAAGCTGCTCGGTGATCCTCGGCGCTCCTCGGCGGTTCTCGGCGACCGGATACTCTTTAAAAATGGTAGAGCGTAAATGCCGATTCTGCGCCAATCATGACATTGATGCCAAACTTTTTGGGCATAGAAATAATTGTCCATTTAAGGAATGCTCTTGTATTAAATGCAATGCACTGAGAAAAAAAACGAAAGGGATAAAATGTACAGAGAGCAAAAGAGATCAGTTGGGAACAACGCAAATGCTGCTGTTGTGCCCAACATGTTAAATCAAAATGTAAATAAACAACCACTCTCTGCAGCTGCGAAGAGAGCAGGTTTGTTTTTTCACTTGTTGTATTATAAATTGAAGTCAATGTACATGTCGTGGCTGGCAATGGACTCATTTTTTTAGTAGCTTTTTTCATCCAGGAAAAGTAAGTGTTATATGCCATCAATAGTGAGCCAAGAAAACTATCCTCAATAAGCTTCCATAATAGAGTGCATGCATGCACTATTAGGCTGTGCACACTTATGGTCAAAGCCAACAGAGCTCAGAGTGAGTCAACAAATTTAGTGAGACCAGGTTGACATTGCTCCTAGTTGCATACCTGTTTTCTAAAAGCTGTGGATTTTTGAATACCGGTACTTTTATTTTCAAAATACACAATATTGAATTTTTTTTGCCTGTGTATTCATGTAGTTTCAATTATGAGTTTGACATTTTACATAGTATTCAGACTAAGGTGAAATTATCTCATATTTAAAAGCTATTATGTATATCTTAAAGGTATAGTTATGTATAATATATGTTTTTTTTAATAATTACAGTCAGCTCTGCCACAGTCATCATGTGTGCCACAATCTTCATCATCATCCTCATCCTTGCCATCATCCTCATCCTTGACACCATCCTCATCCTTGACACCATCCTCATCCTTGCCATCATCCTCTTCCTGGACACCATCCTCATCCTTGCCATCATCTTCCTGGACACCATCCTCATCCTTGCTGCCATCCTCTGCCTCATCACAATCCTCTGCCTTGGCACAATCTTCAATCCAGGTGCCACAATCTGCAATTAACTACAGCACAGTGCAGAAAGCAGACATGCTGAGGGAAGTGTTCCCAACACGATCTTTTGCGGAACTCATTGGTGCACTGGAAAGAAGTGGAGGCGACACGAATAAGGCATATGATATCCTTTCTGATAATTCTTCTAATGATCAACCTTCAACAAGTGAAATAACTAAACTTTCTCAAATATTTCCTGAAAGAGCAAATGAGATTCCTTTTTTACTATCCTCTTTCAACTATGACTACCTTGCAACCTTAGATTATATGCTTACCAATAATTCTTCATCTGCCTCCTCCTTTCCTCAGAATAATCTTATTTCATTTTCTTCTAACAGTGTACCGACTTTTGAGGGCAATCCAAATGTGGCTTCCCTCAACCTTTCTACTTCTGGTACTATCCAAGGGAGCTCATCCAGTCCTTCTGTCACCCCAGGGCGCCGCCCCTGCAGGTGCCAGCAGTGTGGGACTGTATGGCCTGCCTTGGATAGTAAGCAGACCTGCCCAAATTGTGGCACACCTTATAATAAACATGTAAGGTATTAATTTTAAGTATTATTTTATTTTTCATAAATTATGCATGGTTTGAGATACTATATCAAAATCTTG